CTCAAAAATACTAAAATAACAACCAAAACGATACAGATTTTTTACCTACCAAAGACTTGAGAACATTTTAAGTAGGACGAAGTAGAGCGACATGTTGTTAAAGATGAAAATAAAGATGAAATTAGACCCGTTGGTTGTTTTTTTTTTTTTTTTTAACAAGTTATCAAAAATACTACAATGGTCACCACAACTATTGCAAGTTTTTAACGTACTAAAGTATTGAAACCTTTTAAACAGGATGTTACAGAGTACTGTTAAAGATCAAAATGAAGTTGGAGTGGAAGCTTTGGTTCTTTAAATTATTCTTCTTTTTTTTTTTCGATTCAACGGGATGTCAAAAATACTAAAATAGAACAAAAAACCACTGCAAGTTTTTAATCTACCAATGGCTCAAAACCGTTTTAGCAGGATGATACAGAGTAACATGCTATTGAAGATGAATATGAAGATGAAATGAGACCCGCAAATTATCCTTTTTTTTTGTTCAACGGGCTGTCAAAACTCCTAAGATGGTAAAGGCATCTTTATAGAATCAAATTCAATAATACTAATTCTTTTTCATTGTTATTCTTTGTATATTTACATATTTTATGTCTTATGAATTGGATTAGACTGAGTTGTCTGATGTATTTTTTTTTCATGTGTTGTTATCGACGGCACTTCCATCAGCCAAAACTATTGTCAGTTTTTAGCCTACCAAAGACTCAAAATATTTTAAGCAGGAATACAGAGTGATATTCTGTTAAAGATGAAAATAAAGACGAAATGAAACCCGATGATATTTGTTTTCCATCGGATTGTCAAAAATACTAAAATAACAGCTAAAATGATTTTTTTTACCTACCAAAGACTTGAAACATTTTAAGTATGATGAAGTATAGTGGCATGTTAAATATGAAAAATGAAGATGGAATGAGACCCCCTGTTCTTTTTTGTTATCTTTTAACGGGTTGTCATAAATATTATAATATTAGCCCCAACTATTGTAGGTTTTTAACCAGCTAAATTCTCGGAACCTTTTAAGCAGTGTAAAAGTGAAAATGAAATGAGACCTGATGATTTATTATTTTTTGGGTTCAACGGGCTGTCAGAAGTACTCAGATATTAAAGTCCTCTTTTTATATTCAATTTCAATAATATTTTTTCCTTTTGTTGTTCTTCTTTATATATTTACATGTTTGATGTCTTACTTATTTAGACTGGATTGTCTGAGTTTTTTTTCGTGCGTTATTATCAGCGGCACTTCTATCAACCAAAACTATTGCAAGTTTTTAGCCTACAAAAAACTCATTACCTTTTAAGCAGTAGTATGTAGAATGATATTCTATTAAAGATGAAAATAAAGACAGAATGAGATTCGTCGGTTTTTTTTTTTTTATTTTCTTGGGCTATCAAAAATACTAAAATAACAACAAAATCATTACAGGTTTTTTTTTACCTACCAAAGACTCAAACATTTTAAGCAAAATGAATCCAAGAGACATGTTATTAAAAATAAAAATTAAGATAAATTGAGATCCGGAGGTTCTTTTTTTTTTAATGGGATGTCATGAATACTGAAATAACAGCGACAACAATTGCAAGTTTTCACTGAAAACTTTGTTTGATTTAAAATTAAATTTCAAATATTCTAAACCCAGTTAAAAAAGCAAAATAAATCTGCGAAAAGAAATCATTAAATTGCCCTATATCATGCATAACTGAATGTTAAATGCACCAAAAATCCATTCCAAGGTGAAATTCACTATGTGAGGGCTTTGTTTAGTAAAATTATGGGACCAACGTGTTATGAAGACATCAAAACAGTCAATGGTAAACTCCATGATACATTCAGAGATGCATGCGACGCTTTGAGTTTTTTCCAAGACGATTCTGAGTTTACTGGTACTATTGAAGAATCTGCGCGGATAAACACATCATCGACTGTCAGGGAACTTTATGCAAGGCTTATGCAAACAAAAACTGTCAAGCAATATAAACATGTTTGGGAGAAGACATGGCATCTGATGACTGATGATATTTAGTACAAGCGACAATTGATATGTGGACGCAATTCATGTAAGTTTATGGGTTTATATAACTTTTTATGCTTAAAAAATACATGTATTTTTAAATAAAATTAAACATATATATATTTCATTTTATTATAAATATTTTATATTTTTGTTTGTTACTTATTTTGATTTATCATGATTTTTTTAATTTATTGTCCTATACTGTATAGGCATTGAACTATCTAAGGAGGATCTTCATAATTATACACTTGCTGAGGTTGAGAAATTGCTACGAAAGCTTGGAAGCACGCTAAAAAGTTTCCCAGATATGCCCTATCCTCAATATAACGTTGACCCCGATTTTTCAAATCAGCTCATTAGCATGGAAAGGAATATGATGTTAGAGAGTTGGCAGCTGAGCATGAAGCACTGATATCTACCCTAACGGATGAACAACAAGTTATTTATGACAAGATAATGGGTGCAGTTTCAAGATGTACCTGTGGATTCTTCTTCCTTTATGGTTTTGGAGGTACTGGAAAAACTTATATCTGGAAAACATTGTCATCTGCATTGCGTAGTAAGGGTGAGATAGTACTAAATGTTGCTTGTAGCGGAATTGCATCGCTACTTTTAAGTGGTGGAAGAACCGCACATTCCCGATTCGCCATACCTTTAACAATCAAACCAACATCAACGTGTACTATTATACCTGCAGAAGATTTGGCAGAACTCATTGAACGTACAAAGTTGATTATATGGGATGAAGCTCCATGACACGCAGGGATTGTTTTGAGGCATTGGAAAGGACTTTGAAAGATGTCGTGCGACGCAGACACCCAGAAACTTTCAATAAACCATTTGGCAGAATAGTAACCGTGTTAGGTGGAGATTTTCGTCAAGTACTTCCGGTTATAACCAAAGGTACTAGATTTGAAATTGTCGATGCATCTATAAATTCATCACCTTTGTGGAAAAAATGCAAGGTACAAAAGCTGACAAAGAATATGCGACTAAGGAAAGGTGTTGATAGCAGCCAAAATAACGATATCAAGGAATTCTCTGATTGGTTACTTGATATTGGCGATGGAAAGGCAGGTAGTCCAAACAGCGGAGAAGTAGAACTCGAAATGCCATCAGATCACCTTATAGAACAAACTGGTACTCCTGTGGCCTCCATCTGCAATGCTATTTATCCATGCATTTTGTTTGAAAGTCAAAGATTATTTCAATGAAAGAGCTATCTTGGCACCTACCAACGATGAGGTTGATGCTATTAATGATCACATGTTGTCACTCCTAGCTGGCGAAGCAACGGTTTATTATAGTTCAGATTGTATAGATATGACCGCAAGGTCACTTAACTCGGATGATGATGCAGTCTATACAATAGAATTCCTCAACTCTATAAAATGTTCAGGAATGCCAAACCATAAAATAACCCTAAAAGTCGGAGTCCCAATAATGCTTCTTCAAAATCTTGATCAACCAGGAAAATTATGTAATGCTACAAGGCTACAAGTCAATGATTTGGGACAACGGCTTATTCAGGCGACAATCATATCAGGAGCTAATATTGGGAAAAAAACTTTCATTCCACGTATGGATATTAGTCCCACTGATGAGAGGATGCCAATTAAACTAAAGAGGAGGCAATTTCCAATAGTTGCATGCTTTGCTAAGACAATCAATAAGAGTCAGGGACAGTCACTTTCTGAAGCCGGGTTGTTTTTGCGTCGTCTAGTTTTTACTCATGGGCAACTGTACGTCGCTATTCAAGAGTAACATCAAGAAAAGGTCTTAAAATCCTTATTTGTACTAAGGATGGGGAATTCCACAATCGGACAACAAATGTGGTTTACAAAGAAGTCCTAGAAAATATATAATTCTTGATTTGAAACTATTTATAATTATTGATTATTTCCGATACATTTTATAATAATGGCACGAATGCTTTATACATATAAATGGACGAATGCTTTATATTTTTATATACTTTTACTTGTGTCCGGTTATCTTAATTATATGCAAAACTATCATTTATTATACACTTTCTTTTATATTATTATATGTTTAATTTAAATCCCCATATTCAACGTAAAAAACGAAGGAAAATTTTATTCTAATTTGCCCACCGTGCAACGCACGGGTAAAACACTAGTCAACTAAATGGAATTTTGATGTACTAGCTAATTCAAGATTTCAAATCGCCATTAATATTCAGAACTTGTGCATGATTACTAAAACACAATTTGGTTTACACAAAATGATGAATTTGATCATGATTTCGTACGCATATAATAAAGTGAATTAAGCCCAGGTTATTATATATAAGATATACTAAATATATTTAAATTTCAAAAAACAAAATCATGCGGTTAACTTATGGATTTTGAAAGTATTAATTTTTCAATATTTTTGAATTCAACCTGGACTCATAAATTCGTCGATTAAGAATACGGGCAAATAAAACTTATTGCCTTATGGTAATTGTAAGATCATTGAGATGAGATCATTGAGATGAGTTCCCTCCTCCCAAAAAAGTTTGAACTTCCATCACATTAATTGGGGTTTTTTTAATAGTTACTATATTTTTTAGGGGCTAGATCATAAATTTTAAAAGTTAGTTTTTTTAATTTTTTTTTTTCAAGAATTTACATGTGACACTCAAAGATCAAAGCGATCAAAGTACTGCCAAATAAAGTCTTATTCATAATTTTCTTATTTTTGGTCTTAGTTCACTTGTTTAGTAGTAGTTTCATTTTTTAGGCAATAGCCTCCTTTATTGTACAAAAAAAAAAGATTAATTTTATTATCTCTCTTCTATTTTTCTCTTAGTAATAAAATATAAACAGATTTCCAAGACTCCCAGGCACCTTTTTTTGTTTCACCAAATGTTTTTTACATGCTAATTTGTCTTTCTTTTTTTTTTTTTTTCTTTTGGTCCGCGTGATCTTAGTTGTTAGTTTTTATCTTATTCCCTGGTTAATCATTTACAAGAGAAGTGTCATGATCAAATTTTTCCGTGTTCCATCATTGTATTCATCACTAATATAAGAAAAATTCTGTTAAGACTTAGATGTCCTTAACGATTACATAATCTTTGCATCCTACAGCAAATTCTGATGGTAGTTGCTCCTAATTTTGGTTGAACAATGTAGAAGAAGAAGCATTCGTTATGTTTTCCACAGATCTGGAAAAGTTTTCCAAATACTTCTGTAACTGAGTTTTAAGGTAAAACCAACATGTCTCATTTCATCCCCTACAACATGCCGTCTGTAGAGTTATTTCATTTGGAATTCCTGAGGTTGGAGGGTTGGAATGAGTGAAAAAAAAATGACAGATTATAATCACGAATCTGACACCACAAGTCTAAAGTATCAAACCTAATACCTTTTCCTTCTAATGCCATTTTTACAAGAGGGAAACAAAATAAAATAAAATCACATGTATTAATTTGGAAATGTAATTTCATGCATATCTGTTTGGGCAAAGTCCGACTGGCAGCTAATTATCTCCATCTCATTTTCCCAGCACCAAAGAAAAAGAGCAGAACAGTAATCGGTCCAGTGATGTAGCTAAATGGACACGAGGACCTTCTTGCTACATCTATTTACCCAACAGTGCCGGTCTATAGCAAGCATGACTTTGGGCAATCTCGATTCGTTCTCTAGGATCGTTCATGGTTTCATCTCTCAAAGCCTGAAGGATTCCCTGGCATGATTGCTCCCTGAACGACACATGGAGTAAAAAAAGATCAGATTATAGCTATGGCAAAGGATCTTCACCGAACTAATTGGTTCACGACAGAAGTTTTTGCTTAATTTTACCTTGATATGAGTATTTTATGCAAGGTCTTCAAGATGGGGCATAGCTCAACTGGAGCAACATGCTTATTTTCAGTGGGATTCAAGAGATTCAGACCAGGTTGACTAAGTAGTTCATAGAAAGCTTTTACCGCAGAAACACCCTGCAAAGCAAACAGTCCCATTATGATGTTGCAAACAGAACGACTGAATTCACAAGCATCAATCCAAGAATGAGGAGAAACTTATTCTACACACTTACTTAGGATGACTATAATCAGGTAAGCGAGTGAGTGATTCTCTTAAGTTGCTACTAAGATGAATGTGAAGCAAAGAGAAGTCAGTTCACAGGCCCAAACCAAAAGTTCCCAGACATATTGAGTAGCTCAAACTTCTACTTCAGAGTCTTAGCATGAACACAGAACTTCAATATCTTCTGCTTCAATAATGCCAAATTGGAACAGGTGAAAGAATTTCTTCAGGTAAGGATATCGACTCAGAAACAGGTTTCAGGGTCAGGATTGTACTCCTGTTGCAAGAGTGATCACCTATCCTAGAGCTCAGAGAATGTCTAACTACTTTCTGGTTCCTAATAATGAAAATTTCATCCCCTCATTGAACTATGATTTAAGAAATTCGTTTTACCGTTTCCATGTGTCACAAGAATAAGAAATATGTAAGGAACCAATACTAAAATTGGCTACTCACAGAAGTAGTGATAGACGATGTATTCACTTCTGCCCCTCATGCAGTTTGAGCAATTTAAATGCATTTGAGACATGTATCATAGATTACAAAACATTGATATCCTACAGATACATACCTGAATCATACCCTTTCCCTTGATGCTATCACCCATATCCAGGCTCAACTCTCCCATAGCCAACTTCTGCCCGTACCATGCATTACGACCTTTTAACAATGTGACATATGTGTCAGCCAGAAGAGGACCAGCAAGTTTCTCCGGTTCTTCCGCCAAAAGATGAGTAATAAAAATCATCTCAGATGTACAGTGTGCAAAGTACACTGATTTACTTGTAGCACTCTCATTAGTAAGAGCTGCCACCATACCTTCAGAGGACAAACAAAAACTTCACATCAGTGCCCAAAAAAAAAAAAAATGGAAAACAATTACAAAGCATACATTATATTACGGCGAAAAAGACCAGTGTTCCTATTTACTGAAGACATGTTAACCACCTAATTACCTTCTGAAAGGGAAGTCCAAGCAGACAAAATTAACACTTTATTCGCAAGCAGGCAGGAGCATGGTTTACAAAAGGAGTAAGACTGGGAAACTTAGTGAAGCAACAGAAGAAGCAAACATCTTTACCATGACCCATCAAATTCAAAAACATTTAAAATTTGACATACACATGTCACCATCTTTTTACAACATCACAAACTATAATATACAGGTTGTACCTAATTTATTGCCTGCAAGCTACTGAAAATGTGCATTGAATGGGAAATAACCTCAAAGAGTCCATTGGCAGTCATTTGCTGGCAAATTGATATGGTTCAGGAAATATTGCATAACAGTTCTTTCGTACAAAATTGAAAAACCTAACTTGCAACTACGATTTAAAAGCTGGCTCTGAGAAACAAGAAAGAACTTTACCAGCTCCTATTGCATACACATTCTTTAGACCTCCCATAACTTCATGAGTGACAAGATCACCATTGTCCCAAACTATGAAATGGGGTTGCCTCAGAAACCTTGCAAGAGGCTTTCTCCACTTTTCAGCACCACAAATACGAGCATTTGCATATTCCTTGTTGTAAATTTCTGATGCTATATTGGGCCCTCCCAGGTAGAGTATATTCTCCATGGGAACATTAGCTGCAAAACCAAACATTGAGGGGAAAATGTGAGAAAGAAGGGAGCTAACAAAGAACATGACGAGAAAATACCAAAACTCAACAGTTTCACAAAGATGATATTTATTTGCATTTCGAAAAGTAGAGGCATATTCTATTGCATAGACTTAATAACTACAAAAGTGAAACCAGTTTAGATTGCCCAGAAGTTTTTTTTTTAAGTTTCAAAACTTTCAGTTACTAACAGGTCAAAGAAAAGAAAACAAATACATGTAAAAGAAGATTAGAACACCAACTAATGCCTATGACTAAGCCCAATTTTACATGTAGCAAGCTTAAGAAAATATTCATTTTGAGTTCAACATCCTAACACAAGGAGTATTCATAAAAGGCACAATGCAATCAGAACTAAATTGTTTTTCAAATACGTAGCAAACTTGTATTAATTCCAAGAAAGGGCCAACAATTAGAACAACTGAATAAAGGCATTCCATGCTTCCAAAATTTTAGATTGAAAGTCAGAACAATAAATAATTCTCACTTGCTTGATTTATCATCTGAGTAGGAGTAATAATCCGAGGCTCAGGCTGCAATTCAGCTTCTATACCCTTTGCTAAGGAGATTATGACTGGCACTGTTATTCTCTCCTTCCAGTAACGGCTAATTTCTTGGAAGACCTCTCTGGTCTCTGTTGATGGTAAACCATTGATCACAATATCGGCATCCCACACAGCTTCTTGCAAGTTGGTTACCACCTTCATGGGACAAAGTGGTGTATCAATCATATTCAAACAAAATCCATCCTTCAAAATCTCATCAGCATGTAGGGTTCGATCACCTAATCTTGCCTCGACGTACTTCAGGTATGCACATCTCCTGATCAGCCTTCTTAAGACATCTTCCCTGGAATTAATTACCTCGAATAGATGTTCTGCTGTTACTCTATCAACAGACTTGCCAGCTCTCCTCCATATCCTAATCTGGACTTTCTCCCTCAGATTTCCATATGCATCCTGCAGCATAGCCGCAAAAACACTACCCCATGCCCCAGCTCCAACGCCAACAATCCTCAAAGGGTCACCATCTACTTTCCCAAAAAGTCTCCGCAGTTCATCAACCTTCTCTTCCAGAGCACCATTGCCTCCTCCATTCACGTAACCATTACTACTCAACTCCGCCACATCCCCTACCATCTTTATTCAATCAGAGAGTTTTCACAATCTACAGACCAGATGGTCACCCTCTAAAACTTCAATATCTTTTCTTATAAACTAGGAAATGATGCCAGGAATATCAAAAACAACTAGACCAAAAAAATTTAAAAAAAATGGTATTCAGATTTTCAAAGGGAGTTCGATCCCTTAATACCACATGGACAGAATCACCAACTCAATCACTAAAACATATAATGTTTCTAGAATTTCAAGGTCGATCTCACACCAATACGAAAGCAGTTAAACCGATGTTTGACCCCAAAAATCTTGCTTCTCTTCTGATTGTTTTTATCACTTCATCCAAAAATCTAGAAGTAACATAAGCACAAGAATTGCAATTGACAAATGGGTCTTTTCACATTTGAAAATTCCAAGAACATAGACGATCAAAACTTTGAATATTACGTCGGAGATGAAATTTTGGTGAACCACACCGCCCAAAAAAGAATAAATAAATCAAAATTCAGGAAATTTAAATAGGAAAAAAAAACAGTGCCCAACTATTTAAATGGAAGAAAGGAAGAAACCACCTGGGATTGTACTCTTGTCGTGAAAAAAATGGCGGTGATACTGAGCAATCAGCTCAAAACATGCGCCCACAAAGTTGTTTTCACACCTGTCACACGCTATTGATTCAACAAAAACAACGAAAGGGATTGCTTCAATTGGGAAGACAATGCGGTCAAACTTCAGTTTGGGTAGCAATTTGGGTAAATGGGATACGTTAAGACAATGAATAATGGATTAATTTCGCAAAAAATTAGGCGATGTTGGCAATGGCGTGTACGGGTTAGTAGAGTTCGTGTTTGATTTGATGTTTTTTGGGCTTTCTGTTCCGTCTGTTCTAGCTTTCTCAGGAATAGGAAGAAAGGTCAAATGTTGGACAATATTTTCTAGAAATTGCACTCTGCCCCCTTAAACTATTGGACGTGTTCCTCATTGGACTTTAGAGAAATCAGTATTTATCAAGGTTGTAATTTGAAAAGCTTTACAAGTGTGTAGTTTCTTCTTGTTGTCCTTATTCAATTTATGTTGAAAATATTAGGCAAACCGAAATTAGAGAATTAATTATTAAAAAAGGGGATGGAGGCATGCACTCTCTTATTTGTCCTCGAAACCAAACATGGATTAAGAACGTGACAATTGGGCCAACCTTCTTTGGGTGTGCTGCTTTTAAATAGAGCTGAAATTTGTTGTATGATTTTCAAGTGCTTCCCCAATATTCTTTCCAGCATTAGGGGAGAACTTTCACCTTTATTGATTTTACGAGAAAGTGATGGAGAAGGCGGCAGGTCATCTTGATGCGAAGTTTGCAAATGGGTTGGATTCATGGAGCATGTCTCGACCTTGACCCAAAATTTTTTTATAAATTTAAATAAAATTAGGTGAAGGGGAAGAAATAGAAATTGAAGGAGCAAAATTCATATCTTCAGAGAGTGAGATTAGAACCTAAACAAGTCAGAAATGAGAGAGAAAGGGGCAGAATAAGGGAAAGGGAATTTGGGAAGGATCAGAGTTCAATAAGATGCATTTGCATTCACAATCATCCATAATTCATTCACAGTATAAGGAGCAACTTAATTATGAACTAATCAACGTAACCTTTACCAATTATAATTTAACCCTTAGAAGTTTACTAAATACTAAGAGAACCCTTGAAGCACAGTAAACCTTTCCGTTAAAATAAGTCTTGACCTCAAAACTTGCAAAAGATTAAAAAAAAAATGTTATTTAAACTGTGGAACTGATTAAAAAAATGTAGACCCCTTAAGCATTGTCACAAATTTGTCAACAGTTTATCAAACTTTTCGAGTTGCATATACTTAGAATAGGAAATTGTATTTGATTCATAATAATGTTATGTACAATATACAGATTATATATAGACAATAACAAACCCTAAACAAGGATATTACAGGAAATATACTAAATATTACAATACGTCCCTGCAAACTTACGGCGGAGAAGAGAGAAGCCGAAGTTTGTCCCGGAATCGAAAGAATAATTCTTTGGACAAGGGTTTCGTCAGAATATCAGCAAGCTGATCAGCAGCAGAGATAGACTTGACCGAAACAAACTTTCGCCGAACATAATCTCGAACAAAGTGAAAATCAACCTCAACATGACTGGTACGGATCATATTTTAGTTGGTAATGGAGATGCTTTACCTATTCAGCATGTTGGTCAATCTGTCCATCGTTTTCTCGTCCTCTTTATTTAAATCGTGTCTTGCATGCTCCTTCTCTTACTAAGCCTCTGTTATCTGTTCAAAAGTTTACCTGTGATAATCACTGTTTCTTTGAATTTTATTCTGACTCTGATACCAACTTAGAATAGGGAAATTGTATTTGATTCATAATAATGTTACGTACAATATACAGACTATATATAGACAATAACAAACCCTAAACAAGGATATTATAGAAAATATACTAAATATTACAATACATATGATTGATCACGCATGTCTCCAACTCTACATATTAGCACCCAAGCAAAAGCTCTGCAAGTCCTCAAATGTTTGGGACTGTTCTGTTCACTACTCAAAAACCTTGTAGTTCTGAGAGATAATTATTATCAACCAGGTTATCTCTCTCTTTAAGTTCTTGAGAAAATTAACGCCAAGCTTCTGGTGAGAAGCAGTGGAAGTATAGAATTCAACTTTGAACTCCAAGCATTTCCATGTCATTATGATGAACATTCTAGTCATCGTCAAGGGCAAGATGCATAAGGAAAATGGCACTAATGATTTCCAAGAATCTGCTGCAGTTCTGACCATGCCAAATTCTTTCACTATCTTCATTAGTGAAGCAACATTCTCATCTTGCGGTGGAGCCATTTCCAAATACTTAGTGACATGGTATCTAAAGAACTCACTTCCAAACACAGCTTTGGTTTCGACACTGGTGATGTTGTTGCCGTCGCAAAATGAAGAAGACTCCTGTAGCTGAATGATTCTGTGAAAGCCAACTACAAGCTGATGCTCCTTTAAAGCGTGTGTATCCGATTTGAAATTCTCACACCATGGGTCAACAGTGCTATTACATCTTGAAAAGGGTGAACAATAATGCATATGAAATTCATTTCTTGCTAATAATTTAGTATAGGGAATGGACTTACTATAAGACACACCTGATGCTTTCCTTGTGTAACATTTAACCACCACAAGTTAAATAAAAGTTCCAAAAGTCAATTCTTGAATAGCCAAGCTCAGACCGAAGAGCTTATGAATATTTTGCTCCAGTTTCTTGGAACCTTCAAGTCCATGGTAATATTGCATCAAATCTATAATAGTTCCCAGGCCACTCCAAACTTCAGCGACATAACATGTTCTTCCAGTGCACAATTTCACTAAAGTCTTCTTGCCACGATCAAATATTGTGGTCTATAAATTTTCTACTCCAAAAATCACAAGAGTAAGATGGCATGCATCCGCTACAATTTTGTAAATGTATTGACTATAAATGTCCCTTCATTCGACAAACATGAACGAACTCCACATGACTTTTAAGTTCAAAAACACAAGAAGGAAACAAATTTCCAGCTTGGTTGTCTAAAAATTTCCATGACCACTTTTTGTCTTCCAACTTCAGCATATAGAAGTTCAGTGCACTCAAAATTGATTCCCATATGAAGCATGCCTATCATGAAACTGAATTGTGGTACACCCGAAACCTGTACCTCCCTTAAACTTTGCCACAATCTCAACCCATTCCATAATTCTTCTTGCCAATGCAATTTTCTGCGGAATCTTATTTCCCTTAGCAGTCGGAGTACCTTCTTACCGTTGGTACCTCTATCCACGGTTTTCAAAAAGAACTTTTTTTGTATCATCCATGATCCTCATAAATTTGCTTCGTCCTGCAAGCAGATTCTGTAATTTTTGAACTTGGCTTCCATAATTTTAACAATCACATGCTCAATAAAATCATAAAAACTTTTCTTCAACACCCAGCACACTGAATCCCAATGCCAACAGAGAGATGGATCTATTGTAACTTCCTTTTCCCTATTAACTCCAGCCTCAATGAAGTGCTCAATAGTTTCACGCCAAGAAAACCAATCTGTAGCATAAATTCAAATTATAAAACCTAAATATTTCAAGGCTTGACATTCTTTTAACAAGCTTCCTACTCCAACTACCAAGAAGAGATTCCAAAAACTTCCTTAATACGTGAACGTTGCAATTGATGTCGATGGTGAATTGTTTCCTTGAATTAATGTCCCAACATATACCCATAAAACAAGTATCCATACTTTCCAAAATCTTCAACTTCCAATAATCCCGCCAAAGGAAGAACACCTTCAGATACCAGACATCATATTCTGACAAGTCACAACCCCATGAGAAAATATTGAATTGGTCTCCTAGTTCCACATCTAAATTTTGTGTCTGCCCCTGCCCCAGAGTCGTAAAGTTTTGCAACTTGAAAACATCTCATTCCAGTGAGATCATTTTCATCCAACGTAACATAAGAAATGATTCAACAGTAGAGATGATTGGCATCTCAAAAGGTTTAATACTGGACAATTATGTTTATTGTCATCATACATACCATTAAGAGCAAAACCCATTTCCCAGAGATACGGATTAATTTGAAAAATTATTTCCATTAATAATCGATGACCAGTATTGTGCTATACTCGATAATGTAGAATCCTCATGTGCCACAGGTGCAACGTAAACAGATCTTGATCATATTTCAAAGGGTATCATTCTTGAGGGGGCATAATTCAGATCTTCAGAGGGTAAGATTAGAGCCCAAATAATTTAGGAAGATGAAATTTGAGTAAGATGCATTTGCATTCATAATCATCGATAATTCATCATCGTACTTATATAATTCTGTCGACCTAACCATTAAAATTGAACCCTTTGAAATTTACTTAATACTTGAAGAATCCCTAAAGCATGACAGAGCAGCCTTCGTGTCCAACTGGTAGATGGCCTGAAAAGTTTGGGAGAAAAATCTCTATCTATTAGGTTGGTATTCAAGAGTTTATATATACAAACATTAGGACTAGAGTTACCTTAAACTACGGTAAACGTAACTATATTAAATATTACACAATATTTACCAATACCCACTCAAGTTGGTGTATGAGGATTCTGAATGCCCTCACGCTTCCCTAAAGCCTTAGTAAAGATGTCTGCCAGTTGCACACGAGTAGAAACAAAACTAGGAGAAATGAGACCGTTAAGAAGCTCATTGCGCAAGAAATGACAATCCACCTCTACGTGTTTAGTACGCTCATGAAAACCGGATTCGACGCAATGTGTAATACAGCTTGACTGTCACAATGCAAGTGAATTGGTTGAGGATGATCCACACTTAAACACAACAACAACGATTTCAACCACTTCAGTTCGCAAGTAACTGCCGCCATGGCACGATACTCAGCTTCGGCAGAAGAACGTGCCACACTATGCTGCTTTTTCGTTTTCCAAGAAATAGGAGAAGAACCTAATTGGACAAACCAACTAGTAAGAGATCGACGAGTTAAAGGACAAACCCGCCCAATCTGAATCACACCAGGCAGACAACTGTAAATCACAATCAGAGCGCAGCAAGATACCCTGACCAGGATTACCCTTCAAAAACTGCACAACGCGAAGAGCAGCCTCCCAGTGATCAAGCATAGGAGCCTGCATGAACTGAGCTAAAATATGGACACAATACGATAGCTTAGGCGAGTAACAGTAAGATAAATCAAACGGTCAATCAAGCGACGATATCACTGTGGATTAGGCATAAGAAAACTCTGAGCCAACGGAGGATGATGATTTTGTTCCAAAGGAGTATCAACAGGTTTGGAACCCAACAATCCTACTTTAGAAAGAATATCCAACGTATCTTTACGCTGGCAAAGAAAAATGCCAGTAGCATTCCTGGTCACCTCAATTCCCAAAAAATATTTTA